CTATATGTGGAAGGAAACTGTGACCTAGGACAAGCTGATGGCATAAGATGTAAGTACAACTCCTCCGGTTTCATATGCAAAAAAATTATTGCGCTAGCTTACGTGGTTGCAGAGCTACCGGGATTAAAAAATAGTTACGCAAAACAGAGCATGCCCGCTCCGACCGGCTTTAAAGGGTTAAGAGGTCCAAGGGTTTGTCGAGAGCCCTTGAGGCTCTTTAATTGTCACTTGAAGGTTTAGTCCTCAGTTGAAAGGACTGCATAAGGACAAATGAGTGCTTGCTGAAAATGCTGACGTTGAGCTGGTTTTTTATCAGAAGCCAAGGAAAGAAATTTGAAGGCATTTTTGTTTTTTTGTTCTTTGCCCAGACCTGCCCAGTGGACCACACAGCTACAGACTGGAGGAGCTGGCGTACACGAGGAGCGGCGACAAAGGAGACTCTGCTAACATTGGTGAGAACAAATAAACCTCAGGAATGATATTCAGAAATACACAACACTGATTCAAACTAAATCCTGTCTTACCTCAAGTTCACCACACAAATCTGACTGTCCTGACTGTCTCAAAATTACAGCCAATGAGAGGCCAGGAATCTCTGTGTGTGTGGTCAGTTTGGAGTCTGACTGAGAAGTCCTTGAAGGTTCAGCAGGTTATTGTTGGAGATGTTATTCGTGCTTCATTAAAATCTTCCAAGTGAGCCCTTGAGGAAATACCATTTGTTGTTTAGAGAGTTCTTTTGAAAATCCTTAACAAGACTCAAATGGTCTTCAAAGGGTCAGTGACGTCGTTCAGTGTTCAAAGGAAAGACGAAAAGGAGGCCAATTATAAAGACGAAGGTTTACAGTAACTGTTTAAAGTTTACTGCTCTAAGCACTCGTTGTTTGGAAAAATGTTCAGGCATAGTATAATAAAGCCCTGTTTTTGATTTTTTATTTTAATGAGCAAAACACGAGTGACTGTTTTAATCCCAGAGAAATGAAAATCGCCACATCTGTGCATCTCTGTCTCTGTAGGAGTCGTCGCTCGCCATCCGCTCTACTTCCCCTATCTGAAGAAACACCTGACTTCTTCTGTGGTGGGGGAATACTTCTCCCACCTCATCAAGCCAGGAGTGAAGAACGCCGTCACGCGGTGAGCAGGAGGGGAAAAGGCTGTTTGTTGTGAGAGTCACAGAGGAATAAAGATACACTCAGGTCCTTCTTTTACTTTTGCCTCTGTGCACCACTATTTTAAATCAGTCAGTAGACTGGAATACAGTTTTATTTCCAACATGTAAATATAACTAAAATATCAAAATGCAGATGTTCAGCTTTTGTTCAAGAGGTAATAATGATAAAATATACATCATAGTATATGGTCTACAGTTAATTCAATTTATATTTGGATACTGACACAAGTTTTGTGGGTTTTTACCTGTTTACTGAAACATATTCCAATTCATTTGAGCGTGTCCACATTTACAGATGATGAAGAGTTTAGACGTTTCAGCTCCTTAAGCCACCCTCTTTTTATAGGGATCAAAAGTCATTGGACAGTTGGCTCGAAGGCTATTTCATGGGTAGCTGTGGGTTATGTCATTATCCAGTAAGAAGATTAAAGGCCTGGAGTTGATTTGAGGTGTGATGCTTGCATTTGGAAGATTTTGCTGTGAACAGACAACAAATGGTTAAAGGAGCTGCCCATGCAGGTGAAACAAGTCATAATTAATTTGCAAAAACAGGGGAAAAAAACATCAGAGAAGTTGCTACAATGTTAGGAGTGGCAAATCTACAGTTTGGTCAATCCTGAGAAAGAAAGAAAGCACCGGTGAACTGGACGTCAGTAAAAGACAACAGTGGTGGATGATCTCTTGAATGATCAGGCTCCGTCTTATCTTAATGACCTTGTAGTACCATATCACCCTATTAGAGCACTTCGCTCTCGCTCTGCAGGCCTACTTGTTGTTCCTAGAGTATTTAAAAGTAGAATGGGAGGGAGAGCCTTCAGTTTTCAGGCCCCTCTTCTGTGGAACCAGCTTCCAGTTTGGATTCAGGAGACAGACACTATCTCTACTTTTAAGATTAGGCTTAAAACTTTCCTTTTTGCTAAAGCATATAGTTAGGCCTGGACCAGGTGACCCTGAATCCTCCCTTAGTTATGCTGCAATAGACGTAGGCTGCCGGGGGATTCCCATGATGCATTGAGTTTTTCCTTTCCAGACACCTTTCTCACTAACTATGTGTATATACACCTCTCTGCTTTTAATTATTAGTTATTATTAATCTCTGACTCTCTTCCACAAAATTTTGCGACAGATGGCCCTGCGCCTGATTCATCCTGTTAAAAGGGAGTTTTTCCTTTTCCATTTTAAGGGAAGTCAGTCTTTTAAATGTGTAGGATTTAAAATAACAAATGGAGATTTAACAATGTCCTGATTTGTTGAAAATGAAAACAGTTGCTAGGTAAATGAGCTGAAGGGCTTTTGCCTTTCTGATCAGTTGCTTTTTGATTTGGTAATGCTCCACAGCTGTCCATTGTGTTGTGTCTGCCGGGATAACAAGAGGAAACCTAAAATCCTACTTAAAACATCATCACCAGGCCTTCGGCTCCGTTTTCAAACCCCACAAATACCACACTGACAAAGATTTAACAGAGTGCTGAAGACACTGAAGGATGGCTGTGGCCGAAACCCTCATGCTGTAGTCATGAAAAAAGCCCACAACATGCTGATGAAAACCAGGAGCATGACTTCCACTAAAACTGAGATACAACACCATGAACACAGCTCACTGTCAGAGCCCTCCCCCTCGAGGTAATCACCCTGTAATGACACAGCAGAGGAGACGTAATAGAAACCAGGGCTTTGGTGTTTGATAGCCGGAGGCGGTGGATGACCAGGTTGTCTCCAAACAGAAGAATCTCAAGGTTCAGTGTTTTTATTTACTCCTCACAAAGAGACGAGTTTTCTGCAAGATTATAAACAGTTTATCTGCTGCCTGTTAGATTAGTAGCAGACACAATTTGTGTAAGATAAGATACACTCTGTTTACCCCAAAGCTCAGAAATTCCTTTGTTAAAGCAGATAAAAGTCAAGTTAAACGCAACCAATGTATAACAAGCAGCTCAAATAAGCAGGAAGACATGTATCTCGGTGAAATACAGAGTGACCAGGGTAAAAACCTGAAATCATGAAATACAAATAAAGTTTTTTACATTTTGTATTTAAACAGTAGGTAATGAATGACAGCTGTTTTTGGGGTCAACTTGAAAGAAAGGCAGATGTGAAATGTATAAATGAGGTCAGAGGTCAAATGTGATGTCATATTTGGATGCAAACTGTGATGTGAAATTTACAGTGCCCAATACCAGCATCATTTCCTAAAGGTTGTCAATTTTTTAAAAACAACAACAACGTAGATATTTAGCACAGTTTTAAAGATAAAAGACGTAAAAGTTTGAACTTATTTGACCTTGAAAAAGAGATCAGAGGTCAAAAGTGACATGATATTTAGAATCCACATGTTTATTCTTTATTACACATTCTTTATATGCCTACAAAGACAGTCAGGAACATAGATCTAAATAGCTTTATATAACAGTATTATCACTCTAACCTTCAGATCAACCTGTTGACCTTCAAAGAGAGGTTAGAGGTCAAATGTGATGAGATATAGACAATCTTTTTTGTCACTTTTCCTCCAATAAATCATGAAGTTGACCTTGAAGACCTTGGAGGAAAAGCTCTGTACAGTAGTTTAGTGTTAAAGGTGCCGTATGGCTGAAAAAAAGAGCTGTTATATTAATAAAGTTTATGCAATTTGAAGGCAAGAAAAGCAGGGAAAAGACCCAGTCGTATGAGTTAACGGAGTTCATCAATATAACAACTGTATTATTAAGACACGGGAGAATCTGATCATTATTTAACTAAAATTCAGATTTACATAAGATGATTTTAGTTTTGTCTTTCAGCTGCAGCCTCGATCATGTTTAATGGAACGCAAATAAAGAGTAAATACAGAACAGAATTCTAATTAGGGCTGTTCGATATAACGATATATATCTGATGACGATATAAAAACGTCT